TGTCCGGTGGGATTTGCTCCTGGGGAAAAGTGCATGCCGTAATGCAAGACTTGGATCCAAACCTGCTTTTTGCTTGGATGCTTTGTCTCTTCTCAGCAGATTGGAGTATTTTTTAGGCAAGTGTTTTCGTCTTCCTAAGGTTACTTTCCTATTGTTGTTGTTTGCAAAAGGACAAAATGTTGTTTATCAGCCCGGTCTTGCGAACCAACCCTCGCTCGGCTGATTTGCTGCAAATTTGTCCTGTCACTTTAGGACCGTGGCGTCAACAATGATTTCATTGGGTTCTTGGGGGTGTGGCGTTCGCAGGACGAGCGCAAGGAAGCTCCTCTATGCGCACCGCTTAAAAATAACCACAGATGCCCATGCACAGATGGAAATAAAAGAATCAAAAGAATGTTCTTTTTCTTCTGGATTACAAGAAGTATTTAGATGGCTTGAAACTCAATCAGACACTGTGGGGCTTGATATCCAAATTGCTATGCGCAAGGACTAGATGGGAAAAAACATTGCACCTGCTTTGAAAAGGGAGAAGGGAAAGTCGAAGCAGTGGGAGTGTTCTTGTTTGCATTCTGTAAACATAGCCCCCAATATTATCCAATTCTGATGGACTACAACTCCCATAACCCCCTTACCTGGTTGGGAGATGATGGGGACTGCAGTAGTGCAAAACATGCATTTAGAGGTGGTTACTATACCATTAAAGAGATGCTGCAGTAACACAATGCTTGATGCTCAGTCAAAGCTATTGTGGTGCATGTCTATGCGCTTTTTTATCTAGCCCAGTGATGCAAAACCTATGGCTCCCTATTGCCAGCTTGTCCAATGGGTCAGGAATTCTGGGAGCTGGAATCCAAAACATCTGGAGGGCCACAGGTTGTGGACAACTGATCTATTGGTGCTACATTATTATTATTATTATTATTATTATTATTATTATTATTATTATTATTGAGGAGCCCCCAGTGGCGCAGTGGGTTAAACCCCTGTGCCGGCAAGACTGAAGACTGACAGGTCGCAGGTTCAAATCCGGGGAGAGGCAGATGAGCTCCCAACTATCAGCTCCAGCTCCTCATGCGGGGACATGAGAGCAGCCTCCCACAAGGATGATAAAACATCAAAATCATCCAGGTGTCCCCTGGGCAATGTCCTTGCGGGTGGATATTCTCGCAGGCCATTAACGTTACACTAGTCTTGAGCGCATGACATCATGATCTTGGATAGGTCTTGCAATGTCGTAGAGGAGAAGCCCCACAAGTCGGGGACAGATTCCTGCAAATATCTAATTTTTTTGCAGGCTCGTTCAAACTGTTGCAACTCAGGGTAGTTTTCACCTTGCTCCAAAACACCACCACATCAAAGCTGTAGATTTTGTAGTTTATTGAGAAAAAGGCAAAGTCAAAAACATAGTATAACAAATGCAAGAGTTCCATAGGCAGGGCTCAGGCTTAAATGCTAAGACACACTTCCCAAGATCCAAAGGCAAAAACATGAAGCATAATCCTTTAAGCAATGGTCAAACAAGAGTCCATGGTAAAACAGTTGAACACAAGACCGAAAATCTCAGAATCAGGAAGCCAAAAGCGTGCTGCTTAAAGCCAAGGTTAATCCATAGAAGTTTGCATGGAAAGAACTACGTTGAACTGACAACGCCTGTTTGTTAGCCCGAAGGCTAAATACCCTTTGCAGCCATGAACGCATTGCGATGACCTTTGGCAGACTTGGCTTCTCGTTTACTAGCTAAGCGAGAACTTCTCCGGACCCTTAATTGCAGGCGATCTTGCCTGCTCATTAATTCATTATCTTCAAGGCTCTGTAACCCCTTGTCTTGGTTTACCAGCTGTGATGGATCACCGTGGGAAGGCAAAGAAGGCGAAGACATCTCCACCTGGTCGTGTGGGAACTCTGGCTCACAAGACCCACAGGGCTCAGCTTCAGACTCAGAGTCAAGCTGCTGAGTCACAACATAAACAAGATCTCGGAAACTATAGGCTTCCCTCCGCATTTGCAGATTTGACCGGTTGCAGATGTGGTAACAAACACACCTTTTGATGCCTCAAATGTTAGACCTGTTTTTGGGTATGTTTCACCTTATGATTCCCAAAATGGCATATTGCTTAGAACATTTCCCAATGTTCCTTGGTGTATAATTCCCCAATGAATGTTTAGAAAACTAAGCAAGTAGATAGTTTGGTTTCTAGTCTACTCCTTTTGGATTATATAACTTATTATAATTATTATTATTATTATTTGCAGTATTTTTATTCCGCCCTTCTCACCCCGCAGGGGACTCGGGGCGGATCACAATGCACACAGACATGGCAAACATTCAGTGCCATAAACACACAACATATGTAGGCAGACGCACAGAGGCTATTTAACTTTCCAGCTTCATGAGGGTATGCTTTTTGAATTCTGTCCACCGGGGGAGCTGTTGCTTCACCATCCACTTGCGACACTGATGGAGTACTTTCCTCATTCTTTTGCACACTGCTGGAGAGTTTTTTATGCCATTGTAAATTAGTTAAATTAACCTCCCCGCATAAGCGGTACCTAAATTTTCTATTTGACAGATGCAACTGTCTTTTGGGCTGCAAAGGTTGACAGCAAGCTAGACAAATGGCCAGAAGCTCACTCTGACCCGGGCTGGCTTCAAACTCATGACCTCTAGGCCAGTAGTGATTTTAATGCAGCTGTTGGCTTTCAGCCTGTGATTGTGTTTCAGGATCAGGATGCTTTGGATGTGGTAAGTGATGCCAATGAATTCCAAGGTGGCAATGGTTTGGTCAATGATACAGATGCAGAGAAGGACCAGGAGACCCCTGTGCAAAGAGAATGTCCCTGAAGAGTGTGGGGATGATGGTGTACTCCTTGAATTGTTACCAGAGAGTTCCCAGGATTTGGGGCTTGAAAACAACTGGGCACCTGGCCCAGCTGTAAAACTTAATAAGCAAATAGATGGAAGGCAGGAGATTAGTCAAAACAGGCAGACCGAACAGTTGCGTTCCTGCTGCCAGGTGTACATGCTTCATTCTTCTTCCTTGTGATCTGGGAATTTCATGAGCTTCCGAAAAGTCATTGCGGATAGAAATTGCTGGGAGAATTGTTTGTGAACCAACTGGGATTCTTTGCCACCAAAGCAGCAGCTCTTTGAAGAAAGCAGTGAGTCTCAGGCAGTGTTTCTCAACCTTCCAAATGCCGTGACCCCTTAATACAGTTCCTCATGCTGTGGTGACCCCCAACCATAACAATATTTTCGTTATTTATTTATCATGTCAGGAGCAAACCAAACAGTCGTATTGCATTTTAACAAGACAAACAAAACACAAAGTTTGCAAGTTTTGTAGTTGATTAGATGTCCTTTGACCAGTATCTGGCCACTTGGAGTGCCTCTGGTGTTGCCGCAAGAAGGTCCTCCATTGTGCATGTGGCAGGGCTCAGGTTGCATTGCAGCAGGTGGTCACTGGTTTGCTCTTCTCCACACTCGCATGTCGTGGATTCCACTTTGTAGCCCCATTTCTTGAGGTTGGCTCTGCATCTCGTGCGAGAGCGCAGTGTGTTCAGCGCCTTCCAAGTCGCCCAGTTTTCTGTGTGCCCAGGGGGGAGTCTCTCATTTGGTATCATTTATTTATTTATTTATTTACTATTCTTGTATACCACTGTATCTCAAGCCCGAGGGCGACTCACAGCGGATTGAGGGCGACTCACAGTATCACCCACTGATTGAGGTGCTGGGTTTGAGCCTGCCACTTTTGGACTCTCGCTTGCTGAGGTGTTCCAGCAAGGGTCTCTGTAGATCTTAGAAAACTATTTCTTGATTTAAGTTTGACGTGCTGGCTGATACCCAAACAAGGGATGGGCTGGAGATGTCACTGCCTTGGTCCTTTCACTATTGGCTGCTACTTCCCGGTGGATGTCAGGTGGTGCAATACCGGCTAAACAGTGTAATTTCTCCAGTGGTGTAGGGCACAGACACCCCGTGATAATGCGACGTGTCTCATTAAGAGCCATATCTACTGTTTTAGTGTGGTGAGATGTGTTCCACACTGGGCATGCATGCGTACTCAGCAGCAGAGTGGCATAGCGCAAGGGCAGATGTCTTCACTGTGTCTGGTTGTGATCCCCAGGTTGTGCCAGGTTGTGCCAGTCTAGCACCCACTTTTTGCTTGATATTTTCATTGCTACTTCAGAACTGTAATATCTGATATGCAGGATGTCTTTTCATTCACTGGACCAAATTTGGCACAAATATCCAATATGCCCAAAATTGAATACTGGTGGGGTTAGGGAGGGGTGATTGATTTTGCCATTTGGAAGTTGTAGTTTCTGGGCTTTATAGTTCACCTACAATCAAAGAGCATTCTTCTTATTATTATTATTATTATTATTTGCTTTATTTCTATACCGCATATTTCAGCCCGGACAGGCGACTCAATGCGGTTCATTCTACTCCACCAATGATGGAATTGAACCAAACTTGGCACAGAGAATTCCCATGACCATCAGAAAATACTGGAAGGGTTTTGTGGGCATTGTCCTTGAGTTTGGGAGACGTAGTTCACCTACAAACAGAGAGCACGGTGGACTCAAGTAATGTACTTCACCAATGATGGAATTAAAGGTGATTTTCCTGCTTCTTGGCAGAATGGGGTTGGACTGGATGGCCCACCAGGTCTCTTCCAACTCTAGGATTGTAAGCCATCTCCTGTACTTCTCTGATATGATTATTACACCGCTAAAAAAAAGTATATCAATAAATGTCTTTAGGTTTCTATATTTGAAGATTTTAAATTGTTTTGAAATGTTTTTAATGTAAGTTGCTTTGAGTCTCCTTGTGGAGAAAAAAGCGGGGTATAAATAAACATCAGTAATAAGTAAACAAAGAGGACAGCTGGCTTGTATTTTCCTGCATCTCCCGGTTTTTGTATCCCCCAAAATGTCCGTATGATGCAATACATACACCCCCAGCATGTAATAAAATGTAAACGTATATTTCCCCATAGGTCATCTTCAAAGTCAAGTGTGCTGCCGAATTCAACAGATACAAGTAAGTTCTATGGGAAGGTGGGTACAAAGTTTGGGGTGTGATTTTTAAAAGGATGTTTAAGGGGAGAATGCGGTCCAAAAGCAGCATACTATACCGCAATTACCAGGAGTTCGTTATACAACAGTTTGAAAGGAAGGATATATAAGATGATGTGTAAGTAAAGGTAAAAGTTTTCCTCTAATATTAAGTCCAGTCGTGTCCAACTCTGGGAGTTGGTGCTCATCTCCGTTTCTAAACCGAAGAGCCAGCATTGTCCTTAGACACCTCCAAGGTGGAGGTGACATAACTTCGTGGAGCGCCATTACCTTCCCGTTGGAGCGGTACCTTTAAATCTACTCACATTTACATGTTTTCAAATTGCTAGGTGGGCAGAAGCTGGGGTTAATAAACAGCGGGAGCTCACACCGTTCCCTGGATTTGAACCTGTGACCTTTCGGTCAGCAAGTTCTGCAGCTCAGCACATAAACCCACTTCACCTCCAGGGGCTCTAATATAATTATAATATATTATAATATAATAATCTAATTATTATATAATTATATTATTGTTTGATACACAACAGGATTAGTACACAGCAAACAAGATCGGTATGCTGGCTTTTGTATTCGTTCACACATCGGACTGTGTGATGTATCGATGAATAATGTGTGCAGATCAGAGTAGGGTGGCCTTTTACAGCTGACGGATGGTGATTTTGTCAGCGCCAATTGTTTTTAAGTGCAGGCCAAGGTCTTGAGGCACTGCACCCAGTGTGCCGATCACCACTGGGACCTTGTGCCAGAGTCTTTGTAGTTTGATCTTTAAATCCTCGTTATTGTGTAAGCTTTTTGTTTGTTGTCAATTCTGTTGTCACCTGGGATTGCAACATCGACAATCCATATTTTGTTTTTTAATCCGATCGTGAGGTCAGGAGTCTTGTGCTCCAAAACTCCGTCTGTCTAAATCCGGAAGTCCCAGAGGAGTTTGACGTGTTCATTTTCTGTAACTTTTTAAGGCTTGTGATCCCACCAGTTCTTTGTCACAGGCAGATGGTCTTTGTGGTACAAGTTCCAATGAATCATCTGAGCAACGGTGTTGTGACTCTGCTTGTAGTCTGTCTGCACGATCTTCTTGCAGAAGTTGAGGATGTGATCTTTGAATCCTTGTTAGGAACTTTTCCAGTTCCTTCTTGTCAATCCTGCTGTCGAACTGCTAGGTTGCATGTTTTCGAACTGCTAGGTTGGTAGAAGGTGAGGCTAACAGTGGAAGCTCTCCCCGCTTCCTGGATTCAAACCTGTGAGCTTTCGATCAGGAAGTTCAGCAGCTCAGCGGTTTAACCCCCTGTGCCACCGGGGGCTCTAAGATGATGTATAGGTGGTTGTTGTTGTTCATTCGTTCTGTCGTTTCTGACTCTTCGTGACTTCATGGACCAGCCCACGCCAGAGCTCCCTGTTGGTCGTCATCACCCCCAGCTCCTTCAAGGTCAATCCAGTCACAGTGTAGGTAGTATCGATCCCCAAATAAGGGGATTCATCTTAGGCCACACCTACACTGTAGAATTAATGCAGTTTGGCACCACTTGAATGGCCATGGCTCGGTGCTATAGACCATCTATATCAGTGGTTCTCAACCTTCCTAATCCTGCGACCCCTTAATACAGTTCCATATGTTGTGGTGACCCCCCAACCATAAAATTATTTTCATTACTACTTCACAACTGTAATTTTGCTCTTGTTCTGAATCGTAATATAAATATCTGATATGCAGGATGTATTTTCATTCACTGGACCAAATTTGGCACAAAGACCCGATACACCCAAATTCGAATACTGGTGGGATTTGGGGGTATTGATTCCATCATTTGAGAGTTGTAGTTCACCTACAATCAAAGAGCATTCTGAACACCACCAATGATAGAATTGAACCAAACTTGGCACACAGAACTCCCATGACCAACAGAAAATACTGGAGAGGCTTGGGGAACATAGACCTTGAGTTTTGGAGTTGTAGTTCACCTACATCTCGAGAGCACAGTGGACTCAAAACAATGATGAATCTGGATCAAACTTGGCATAAAAATCAATATGTCCAAATGTGGACTCTGGTGGAGTTTAGGGAAAATAGACTTGACATTTGGGAGTTGTAGTTGCTGGGATTTATCGTTCACCTACAGTCAAAGAACATTCTGAACCCCACCAAGGTTAGAATTGGGCCAAACATCCCACACAGAACCTCCATGATCAACAGAAAATACTGTGTTTTCTGGTGGTCTTTGGCGAACCCTCTGAGACCCCCTCATGACCCCTCCAGGGGTCCCGACCCCCAGGTTGAGAAACACTGATCTATATTGAGTTGTGGTTTCACAAGGTTTTCAGCCTTCTCCGCCGAAGAGGGCAACTCCCAGCATTGCATAGCATTGAACCATAGCAGTTTAAAGCAGCGTCGAACTGCATTAATTCTTCAGTGTAGATGCATGCCATGAAATATACACAAAGCTTGAAGGGTTTGGGCGGGGAATAGAAATGGGCCATGTCAAATCCACGTTGGAAACGTCAGCGTAAGGAAGTCTCCTTTTTCCATAAGTGGAGCCCAAAAGTTGTTGGTCCAATAGTAGCACGTTCTCTTGGGCATGGTTCCGTCTATTTGTGAGTATTACCAATGTTTTATTCCCATCCCTATTTCATCCAACTTTCCAGGGTGGTTTTGTACCTGGGCGCCATCTTCACCAGCCTTCTCTTCCTCTTCGTGAACTTGACCTGCACGCTACTGGCACACGACGATGCGCCCGAAGAGCAGCGGCGCTGGGCCCTCTTCACGCGGGTCGTGATCAACGACGGCCTCTTCATCCTCTCCTGTGCCTTGCTGGCCTGCACCATGTGCCGGCTCTCCAAAATGTCCTCGGCCAACGTTTACCTCGAGTCCAAGGTAGGGGCGCACACGGTCTCCCATCGAAACCCCACCATTCAAATGCGAGGCATTGTGTGGGTACAGCTCCCTGCATAGAACCCTTGATTGCGTTGAGATCTCTCTCTATCAGTCCTGGGCAAACTTGGGCCCTCCAGGTGTTTTGGACTTCAGGAATTGTGGGAGTTGAAGTCTAAAACACTTCGAAGGCCCAAGTTTGCCCAAGCCTGCTCTCTATATATAATACTACTAACCATCTCCTGCCACACATTGCTGTGGCCCAGTCTGTGTATATGTGTTTTATGTGTGCATATATATTTGAGTATATATGTGCTTTTGCGCATTTGTTGTAATGTACTTTTTTATTTTTTGGCTTTTTAAGTCTCTTCCGCTGTGTTTTTCAGTGTTTTTATGAGTGATGGTCACTCATTGGCCTGATAGTTGTATTCTGTCCAAATTTGGTGTCAATTCGCCCAGTGGTTTTTGAGTTATGTTAATCCCACAAATGAACATTACATTTTTATTTATAACTAGCCGTCCCCTGCCCCGTGTTGCTGCCGTGTTGCCCCGTGTTGCTGTAACCCACATGGGGGTTCTGTGTGGGAGGTTTGGCCCAATTTTCTCGTTGGTGGGGTTCAGAATGCTCTTTGATTGTAGGTGAACTATAAATCCCAGCAACTACAACTCCTAAATGTCAAGATTCTATTTTCCCCAAACTCCACCAGTGTTCATATTTGGACATATTGAGTATTCGTGTAGAGTTTGGTCCAGAGCCATCATTGTTTGAGTCCACAGTGTTGTTTCTTAGTCAATGTTGATGTGGAGATTGTCTGGTTTGCCCACCCTGGAACATACAAGATATCATTGTCCTTCTTTAGGGGTCCCTTTCAAATCTATGATACTATATCTCTCTGTGTGTGAATCATATCTATCTATCTGTATCTATGGCTGGATGGCTCTTTGTCAGGAGAGCTTTGATTACGTTTTCTTGCCCTGGTGAAAGGAGTTGGACTGGATGGCCTTAAGTATGGGGGTTCTGTGTGGGAAGTTTGCCCCAATTCTGTCATTGGTGGCATTCAGAATGCTCTGTGATTGTAGGTGAACTACAAATCCCAGTAACTACAAATCCCAAATGTCAAGGTCTATTTCCCCCAAACTCCATCTGTGTTCATATTTGGGCATATGGGTATTGTGCCAAGTTTGGTCCAGATCCATCATGTGTGCTCTCTGGATGTAGGTGAACTACAATTCCAAACTCAAGGTCAATGCCCACCAAACCCTTCCAGTATTTTCTCTTGGTCATGGGAGTCCTGTGTGCCAAGTTTGGTTCAATTCCATCATTGGTGGAGTGCAGAATGCTCTTTGATTGTAGGTTAACTATAAATCCCAGCAACTACAACTCCCAAATGACAAAATCAATTTTTTGAGTGATGGTCACTCCTTGGTTAGTAGTTGTCTTGTGGCCAAATTTGACGGCAATTCGTCCAGTGGTTTTTTGAGTTATGCTAATCCCACAAACGAACATTACATTTTTATTTATACAAGATGATGATGATGGTTATTATTATTATTATATTTATTTACACCTGACCCAGCTTTATCTCTCCCAAGAGAGACCCAAAGTGTACATACTTATTTTATGCTTATATATAGAGATTGATCTGCTTTATTCTTGGATTAGCTGGGAGTCTTTACAGGCTAACAGACCCAACAGCCCTTGTTGTTCATTCGTTCAGTTGTCTCCGACTCTTCGTGACCTCATGGACCAGCCCACACCAGAGCTCCCTGTCAGCCGTTACCACCCCCAGCTCCCTCAAGGTCAGTCCAGTCACTTCAAGGATGCCATCCATCCATCTTGCCCTTGGTCGGCCCCTCTTCCTTTTGCCTTCCACTTTCCCCAGCATAATTGTCTTCTCTAGGCTTTGCTGTCTCCTCATGATGTGGCCAAAGTACTTCATCTTTGTCTCTAGTATCCTTCCCTCCAGTGAGCAGCTGGGCTTTATTTCCTGGAGGATGGACTGGTTGGATCTTCTCGCAGTCCAAGGCACTCTCAGAACTTTCCTCCAACACCACAGCTCAAAAGCATCGATCTTACTTCGCTCAGCCTTCCCTAAGGTCCAGCTCTCACATCCGTAGGTTACTACAGGGAATACCATGGCTTTGACTAGGCGGATCTTTGTTGCCATTCTGATGTCTCTACTCTTTACTATTTTATCGAGATTGGACATTGCTCTCCTCCCAAGAAGTAAGCGTCTTCTGATTTCCTGGCTACAGTCTGCATCTGCAGTAATCTTTGCACCTAGAAATACAAAGTCTGTCACGGCCTCCACGGTTTCTCCCTCTATTTTTCCAGTTGTCAATCATTCTTGTTGCCATAATCTTGGTTTTTTTGACGTTAAGCTGCAACCCGGCTTTTGCGCTTTCTTCTTTCACCTTATTAGAAGGCTCCTCAGCTCCTCCTCGCTTTCAGCCATCAAAGTGGTGTCATCTGCATATCTGAGGTTGTTAATGTTTCTTCCAGCAATTTTCACCCCAGCTTTGCATTCATCCAGCCCCGCACATCGCATGATGTGTTCTGCATACAAGTTAAAAAGGTTGGGTGAGAGGATGCAGCCTTGCCGTACGCCTTTCCCAATCTTGCACCAGTCTGTTGTTCCGTGGTCAGTTCTGACTGTTGCTACTTGGTCCTTGTACAGATTCCTCAGGAGAGAGACAAGGTGGCTTGGGATGCCCATCCCACTAAGAACTTGCCACAATTTATTTTGCAGGAATATGAACATAAGTCCCAAGACCAAAGCAAGAGTCGATTCCTGCTTCCTTCCTCCACTGGTTTCCTTTTTGCCAGAGCTTTCCTTTGAGAAACTTGTCTTTTCCTTGTGAACATTCCACAAATGTGGGTGAACGTTCGGTGACACGAGAGCCACTCTTGGGCTTGAACCGGCATCACGTTCCTTCTGCAAAGTCTGCCGACGTGAAGCGCTTCTCCCTTCCCTGCATGGATTAGCGAGTGTGGATTATTTATAGCGCGCCATCAATATGCATGGTACTTTGCAGGCTTAATATAAGCCAGAACAGACAGGTCTCTACCCCCCAAGATATCGCTGGCTTAACGTTCTGCAGACAGGGAGAAGGCAGAGAAAATGTAGTTCCACATTCCAGTTGGAAAGATGAGGACGAGGTGAATCACAGGACATCATTGGAAATCTTCATTTTTTGTGAACCACATTTTGCAAAATTCTCCTAGATGTAGTGTAAGGATTTGTGGGAGGTTTTAGTGTGCCTGTTAGATCGAAGATCGTTGGCGGTTGTGTTGTTACAGGCCGCTTTGAGTCTCCCAATGAAGAGGAAAAGTGGGGTATAAATAAATATAATAGTAATAAACATAGCTATGGCTCACAAATGGAAACATAAGGAGAGAATGCTACTGGAACTTGGCCATACAGAGCAGAAAACTCGCAGCAACCCAATAATAATAATAATAATAATAATAATAATAATAATAGGTCAAGGACCAACATCAAGAGTAGTAAACGGCTTCAAGTGCAAAGGACAAAGAGTGAATACCGTAAAAACATAATCCAGACCAGAAGAGAAACCTGGCCAAAGAAGGCTCTCCATGGACAGTTMCTGGGAAAAARTGAGAGCCAAATTGACAAAGAACAAACATGGCTGTGGCTCACAAATGGGACTCTGGAAAAGGAGACAAAGGAGGGCCTGATTCTGGCAGCCCAAGAACAAGCCATTTGAACCTATGCCATCCAAGCCAGAATGGAAAAGTCAATGACWGATCCAAAGTGTAGACTCTGCAAGATGAAACAATAGATCACATCCTCAGCTGCTGCAAGAAGATCGCGCAGACAGACTACAAGCAGAGGCACAACACCCTTGCTCAGATGATTCATTGGAACTTGTGCCACAAACACCATCTGCCTGCGACAAAGAACTGGTGGGATCACAAGCCGGACAAAGTTACAGAAAATGAACATGTTAAACTAAGCTGGGCATGTTTAGCCTGAAGAAGAGAAGGCTGAGAGGGGATATGATAGCCATGTATAAATATGTGAGAGGAAGCCACAGGGAGGAGGGAACAAGCTTGTTTTCTGCTTCCCTGGAGACTAGGACATGAAACAATGGCTTCAAACTACAAGAGAGGAGATTCCATCTGAACATGAGGAAGAACTTCCTGACTGTGAGAGCCGTTCAGCAGTGGAACTCTCTGCCCCGGAGTGTGGTAGAGGCTCCTTCTTTGAAAGCTTTTAAACAGAGGCTGGATGGCCATCTGTCAGGGGTGATTTGAATGCAACATTCCTGCTTCTTGGCAGAATGGGGTTGGACTGGATGGCCCATGAAGTCTCTTCCAACTCTTTGATTCTATGATTCTATGATTCTGGGACTTCTGAATTAAGACAGAGTTTTGGAGCACAATACTCCTGACCTCACAGTTGTGGGGAAAAACAATGTATGGATCATCGATGTTGCAATCCCAGGTGATAATAGAATTGACAAGCAGCAAAAAGCTTACACAATAATGAGGATTTAAAGATCAAACTGCAAAGACTCTGACACAAGCCAGTCAAAGTGGTCCCAATGGTGATCGGCACACTGGGCACAGTGCCTAAAGACCTTGGCCTGCACTTAAAAACAATTGGCGCTGACAAAATTACCATACGTCAGCTGCAAAAGGCCACCTTCCTTGGATCTGCACGCATTATCCACCAATACATCACACAGTCCTAGACACATGGGAAGTGTCCAACGTGTGATCCAATACAACAGCCAGCAGAGTGTCTGCTGTGGACTCCTCTTGTTGTGTTTCAAATAATGATGATGATTGATGATGATGATGATGTCTATCGTGTTGTTGTTGTTATTATTATTGTTATTAATTATTATAATAATTTGTAGACTGCCCTATCTCTCCAAAGGGACTTAAGGCGGGTTTCAACAAAACAAACACAACGGCAAACATTCAATGCCAAAACAACAAATAATAAACCAATAAATAAAAACAGACAAAATACCGGTGGGGTTGAGGGGGATTGATTTTGTCATTTGGGAGTTGTAGTTACTGGGATTGATAGTTCACCTACAAGCAAAGACCATTCTTTACTCCTCCAACGATGGAATTGAACCAAACATGGCACACAGAACTCCCATGACCAACAGAAAATACTGGAAGGGTTTGGTGGGCATTGACCTTGAGTTTTGGAGTTGTAGTTCCCCTACATCCAGAGAGCACGTTGGACTCAAACAATGATGAATCTAGACCAAATTTGGCACGAATATTCAGTATGCCCAAATGTAAACACTGGTGGAGTTTGGGGAAAATAAACCTTGACATTTGGGAGTTGTAGTTGCTGGGATTTATAGTTCACCTACAATCAAAGAGCTTTCTGAACCCCACCAACGATAGAATTGGTCCAAATTTCCCACACATAACCCCCATGACCAACAGAACATACTGTGTTTACTGATGGTCTTTGGCGACCCCACTGACACCCCCTCATGACCCCCAGGTTGAGAAACGCTGCTGTAGTATAACCTTTGAAAAAACAATCTGAGATCAGTTTAGGAGGGTTCAGCACCATGGAGATCTCCTGTGATGTTTGGACTAAAAACTAGAGAAGGACCATTGCCCCACTGATGACACTGCCTGTTTTTATTCCCTGCCCAAAACCCTTTGCTTTGTTCATCTCATGGATTGTGTCTACACTGTAGATAAGTAGTTCTTAACCTTCCTAATGCCATGACCCCTTAGTACAGGTCCTCTTGTTGTGGTGACCCCCAACCATAACATTATTTTCGCTGCTACCTCATAACCGTAATTTTGCTACCGTTATGAATTGCAATGTAAATATCTAATATGCAGGATGTATCTTACTGATACGCCGACATTTGAATACTGGTGGGATTGTAGGGGGGATTGATTTTGTCATTTGGGAGTTGTAGTTGCTGGGATTTATAGTTCAGCTACAATCGAAGAGCAGTCTGAACTCCACCAATGATGGAATTGAACCAAACTTGGCACACAGGACCCATGACCAACAGAAAACACTAGAAGGGTTTGGTGGGCATTAACCTTGAGTTTGGAAGTTGTAGTTCACCTACATCCAGAGAGCACTGTGGACTCAAACAATGATAGATCTGGCCCAAAGTTGGCATGAATACTCAATATGTCCAAATGTTAACACTGTTGGAGTTTGGTGGGAAACAGACCTTGACATTTGGGAGATGTAGTTGCTGGGATTTATAGTTCACCTACAATCAAAGAGCTTTCTGAACCCCACCAATGATAGAATTGGTCCAAATTTCCCACACATAACCCCCATGACCAACAGAATATACTGTGTTTACTGATGGTCTTTGGCGACCCCACTGACACCCCTCGCGACCCCCAGGTTGAGAAACGCTGCTGTAGTATAACCTTTGAAAAAAACGATCTGAGATCAGTTTAGGAGGGATCAGCACCATGGAGATCTCCTGTGACGTTTGGACTAAAAACTAGGGAGGAACCATTGCCCCACTGATGACACTGCCTGTTTTTATTCCCTGCCCAAATCCCTTTGTGTATCTCATGGATTGTGTCTACACTGTAGGTGCATTCAGTAGGCTGGCTGGTAAGTCTCCAACTTGTTTCTTACAATGGGTTAGCAAGACCCACCTTTGCAGCTGGGGCAGATGTGTGTGTGTGTGTGTGTGTGTATATACATACTAGCTGTCCCCTGCCACGCGCTGTGGCCCAGTCTACTGATCTGGAAAATAAAGTAATGAGAAAGTGTTGGTTTCTAATATATGCAATTTCTTTCTGCTTGTGAGTAAACAGTATTTCTTGCTGTTTCTTTGTCAGTGTTGATGTGGAGCATGTCTGGTTTGCCTACTCTGGAGCATGCAACATATCATTGCCCTTCTTTAAGGGTCCCTTTCAAATCTTTGATACTGCATCTGTCATATACATATATGCGTATGTGTTTGAATGGCTGGATGGCCCCTTGTCAGGAGGGCTTTGATTATGTTTTCTTGCCCTGGTGGAGGGAGTTGGACTGGATGGCCTTAAGGCAGCATTTCTCAACCTGGGAAGTCGACCTGGGGGGGGGTCACCAGGGGGGTGTCAGAAGGGTCACCAAAGACCACCAGAAAACACAGTATTTTCTGTTGGTCATGAGGGTTCTGTGTGGGAAGTTTGCCCCAATTCTGTCGTTGGTGGGGTTCAGAATGCTCCTTGATTGTAGGTGAACTATAAATCCCAGTAACTACAACTCCCAAATGTCAAGGTCTATTTTCCCCAAACTCCATCTGTGTTTATATTTGGGCATATTGAGTATTCGTGCCAAGTTTGGTCCAGATCCATCATTGTTTGAGTCCACAGTGCTCTCTAGATGTAGGTGAACTACAACTCCAAAACTCAAAGTCAATGCCCACCAAAGAGCATTCTGAACTCCACCAATGATGGAATTGTACCAAACGTGGCACACAGAACTCCCCTGACCAACAGAACACAACCTTTCTAGTGTGTTCTGTTGGTCAGGGGAGTTCTGTGTGCCAAGTTTGGTTCAATTCCATCATTGGTGGAGTTCAGAATGCTCTTTGATTATAGGTGAACTATAAATCCCAGCAACTACAACTCCCAAATGACAAAATCATAATTTTTGAGTGATGGTCACTCCTTGTGTTGTGAGACGTTTTGTTGCCAATTTGGTGTGATTTCGTTCATTGGTTCTTTTGTTTTTAAGGTACTCATTACGCACAGAATATATATATATATATATTCACTTCCCGATCTGGGCACGTTCAAATATTCAAAAGTTTAAAAATACGCCTTCTGTTCCGGTTCAGTACCCGGTGAACGTTTCACCCAGCATAAACAACCACTTAAGGGGGACGGATCCGTCTACTAGCCTGTTGTATTTTTAATGCCCCTTGTGCATATGTGTTCTTCTTTTGCAAACAAAATAAATCTAGGGCACGTCTGTCTGCCAAGCGCTGCTCGTGGGTTCGGTCGTCGTCCTCCTCTACTCTTCAATGGCGTTCTATAACATGGTGGCCGTCACCGTCTCTCCAGACCACATGCCCAGTCCGTTCAACTACGGCTGGGACAACCTGAAGGTAAAGGAGGGGACCATCAGAGTCCAACGGATGGCTGGATGGCCATCTGTCGGGAAGGGTCGAATTGGGTCTATCTGTAAGATGTGTCGTTTTGCCTTCATTTCACGGCCTGGAATGCTTCCTTCCTGTTCCTACACAGGTTCGAGGGGAAGATGTCAGCAGCAAAGAATACGTTGTCTTTGGGATGGTGTTTTTCCTCTGGGAGTTTATCCCGACCTTATTTGTGGTGCTGTTCTTCAGAGCCCAGCGCCTGTCGCAGAATTTGGTAGGGAAGAGTGGAGGCGTTTCGCCATCTTATTACTGTTTTCTCTAATAATTTTTTATTGAATTTTAGTCACTTAAATCCAATGAATTGAAAATAAAACAGGAAAACTAAAGAATCGAGTACAAAATAATCCCATAATATTTCTACAAGGAGATCCCGATGGTGCAGAGGGTTAAACCGCTGAGCTGCTGAACTTGCTGATTGAAAGGTCCCAGATTCGAATCCGGGGAGTGCCCCACTGTTAGCCCCAGCTTCTGCCGACCTAGCAGTTCAAAAACATGCAAATGTGAATAGGATGGAGTGTGGAAGGGGGTTAAAATGCTCTCATTTTAATTGTATATATATATTTAGGACATTTAATATATATATTTTTGTGCAATGGCATGTCTTTGTCCCTGGCAGTTCAAAGACATGGTTTATCAGTTTAACAGCTGATTTGCCTGTGTTATCAATGCCATTGTTGTAAGCCGTCTTGAGTCCTCTTCAGGGGCAAGAAAGGCGGGACATAAATATAGTAAATACATAAATAAATAAGCCAGAGCAGGTGCATTTTGTGTGTGTCTGTGTAGTTTATATTTGGATAGTATAGGGAAGGGTTAACACCCCTGTGGCTGTCTGTACCTCTGTTCGGAAGATCTCACCTCACTTTTTTCCCCTGTGAGAATGGGATTTTGAAAAATGTGGCTTGTTATGCAAATATTGGAGATAACGCTTCAGTGGAGACGTTTTTCCCCATGATAATAACTCTTCTAAGAGTGGATTTCCCTTCCTTCCGAGGGGTTGATTCCTTCCACTTCCTGTTGTTTCAGCCCCGTTCTTCGCCTCACCTGCCTCATAGGAAATCTACTACAAAACAGGAGCTTTTTTGTTGAGTTCCAGGGCCAGGGAAGCAGATGGCGAAAACAGAAGAACAGCCTGCCTCCGGGGAGTGTGCTTGCTCCATCCATGTTCAACATTTACACAAATGGCCAGCCACTGCCAGAAAGGACAGAGAGTTTCATCTATGCTGACGATCATGCCATCACCACCCAAGCAGTGAGCTTAGAAATGGCTGGACAGAAGCTCTCCAAAGCTCTAGGTACTCTTACTGCCTATTACAGGGGAAACCAGCTGACATGTGCTTTTCAGCTGGTTTCGTGTGCTTTTCATCTAAAAACAGACAAGTATCGAGCTCTGAGGATGACCTGGGAAGGACTCCCATTGGAGCATTGCAGCACACCCAAATACCTGGGAGTCACTCTGGACCGTGCTCTGACCTACAAGAAGCACTGCCTGAACATCAAGCAAAAAGTGGGTGCTAGAAACAATATCATACGAAAGCTGACTGGCACAACCTGGGGATCACAACCAGACACAGTGAAGACATCTGCCCTTGCACTATGCTACTCTGCTGCTGAGTACGCATGCCCAGTGTGGAACACATCTCACCACACTAAAACAGTGGATGTGGCTCTTAATGAGACATGCCGCATTATCACGGGGTGTCTGCACCCTACACCACTGGAGAAATTACACTGTTTAGCCGGTATTGCACCACCTGACATCCGCCGGGAAGTAGCAACCAATAGTGGAAGGACCAAGGCAGTGACATCTCTGGATATCAGCCAGTATGCCAAAGACTTAAATCAAGAAATAGTTTTCTAAGATCTACAGAGACACTCACTGGAACACCTCAGCAAGCAAGAGTCCAAAAGTGGCAGGCTCAAACCCAGAACCTCAATCAATGGCTGATACCAAATGAGAGACTCCCCCCTGGGCACACAGAAAACTGGGCGATTTGGAAGGTGCTGAACAGACTGCGCTCTGGCACCATGAGATGCCAGAGCGCAAGAAATGGGGCCACAAAGTGGAATCCACGACATGCGAGTGTGGAGAAGAGCAAACCACTGACCACCTACTACAATGCAACCTGAACCCTACCAAATGCACAATGGATGACCTTCTTGGGGCAACACCAGAGGCACTCCAAGTGGCCAACTTCTGCTCAAAGGACATTTAATAGAATGCCAAGTTTGGAAAACTTCGTATTGTTTGTTTTTTAATACAATACAACTGTTTGGTTCACTCCTGACACGATAAATAAAAAATAAAGCCCCAGTCTTAACTAGGAGTCAGATGTTTGTAACTTGGGGACTGCCTGTACTGCTACAAAGGCCCAATTTCCCTGTGTTCTTTCCCCAACAGGCGCCTGCAGGGATGATCAACAGCCACAGCTACAGCTCCAGGGCTTACTTCTTTGACAACCCAAGGCGGTACGACAGCGACGACGACCTTCCCAGGCTTGGCGGAGGAGGAAGGTAGGTGGCGTGATCAGACTCTGGGGTTCTTGCTCACATAAATCCATTCTGCGTGCAACACAAAATATTCTGAGACCTTGCTTGGGATTAGGGTTGCAATGTGACAACAGGAGAGGGCTCCTGTCTCTTTAGTGGGGCATGTTGAAGAGAATATTTGGGCAGGAGTTAGAATCGTGGAGTTGGAAGAGACCCCCAAAGGCCATCCATTCCAACCCCCTTCTACCATCCAAGCCCTTCTGACAGGTGGCCATCCAGCCTCTGCTTATAAACCTCCAAAGGAGGGGACTCCACCAGATTCCAAGGCATCTTGGCCACGGTGGTCCATGCTCTTGTTACATCCCGAATGGACTACTGCAATGCATTCTACGTGGGGTTGCCTCTGAAGACTGCCCGGAAGCTTCAACTAGTCCAACGTTCAGCAGCCAGGCTGCTCCCTGGGGCTGGGTACAGGGAGTGCACAACGTCCTTGTTACGCCAGCTCCACTGGCTGCCTATCAGCTTCCGAGCACAATTCAAAGTGCTGGCTTTATTTCTTTCTTTATTTATTTACAACGTTTATATGCCACCCTTCTCACCCCAAAGGGGACTCAGAGCTGCTTACAAGAGAGAGAGAGAGAGAGATACATACATATACATACACACACACACACACATACATTATATTATTAGCATAGTACAATATCAGTATTATATATTACTATATTGTACTATACCATTATATTGTAATATTATTAGTATTATTACATGTAATATAAAATATATAATATAATATTGTATTATTAGTAGTAGTATTATATTGTATTACATTATAATATTATAAATATTATATTTATATGAGTGTCCCCCCCCCCCCCCCCCCCCCCCCCCCCCCCCCCCCACCCCCCCCCCCCCCCCCCACCCCCCCCCCCCCCCCCCCCCCCCCCCCCCCCCCCCCCCCCCCCCCCCCCCCCCCCCCCCCCCCCCCCCCCCCCCCCCCCCCCCCCCCCCCCCCCCCCCCCCCCCCCCCCCCCCCCCCCCCCCCTCCCTCCCCCCCCCCCCCCCCCCCCCCCCCCCCCCCCCCCCCCCCCCCCCCCCCCCCCCCCCCCCCCCCCCCCCCCCCCCCCCCCCCCCCCCCCCCCCCCCCCCCCCCCCCCCCCCCCCCCCCCCCCCCCCCCCCCCCCCCCCCCCCCCCCCCCGCCCCCACGCCCCCCCCCCCCCCCCCCCCCCCCCCCTCCCACCCCCCCCCCCCCCCCCCCCCCCCCCCCCCCCACCCCCCCCCCCCCTCCCCCCCCCCCCCCGCCCGCCACACACGCGCGCGCGCGCCCCCCTCCCCCCCCCCCCCCCCACGCTCCCCCCGCCCCACCCCCCTCCCCACCACCCCCTCCCCCCCCCCCCCCACCCCCGCCACCCCCCACCCCCCCCCCCCCCCCCCCCACCCCCCCCCGCCTTCCCCCCCCCCTCCCCCCCCCCCCCCCACCTTCGATGCCAGCTTGAGCAGGGCGGGTCAGCGCTGCTTGTGTTATTGGATCTCACAGCAGCATTTGACACAGTCGACCACAATCTCTTGACCCACCGCCTTGCTGTTGCTGGAGTCAGGGGGAGAGCTTTAAACTGGCTGTCCTCCTTTCTTCACAACCGTGGACAGCGAGTGGAGAGGGGAGGCCTGGTCTCTGAGAGGTCCCCTCTCTCTCTCTTGTGGGGTTCCTCAGGGGGCCATTCTCTCCCCTCTGTTGTTTAACATCTATATGCGACCACTTGCTCAGCTGGTTCGAGGTTTTGGGCTTGAGTGTTATCAGTATGCCGATGACACTCAGCTGGTGCTGAAGATGGAAGGCCGACCGGACTCTGTACCCGATTGTTTCCATCAGTGCCTCGAGGCCGTGACTGGATGGCTGGTGCCAGCAGGTTGAGGGTGAATCCAGCAAAGACGGAGATCCTATGGCTGGGTCGACCGGGCAGTGGGGACATCCATCTGCCACCCTGGATGGCGAGGCGTTACGCCTGTCATCATTGGTCAAGAGTCTGGGAGTCCTTTTGGACCCTCTGCTGACGATGGAGGCCCAGGTCTCCGCCGTGAGCAGAACCGCCTTCTTTCACCTGCGGCAGGCTAGACGGCTGGCCCCCTCCCTGTCCAGGGACGACCTAGCTACGGTGATCCAGGCCACGGTCATCTCAAGACTGGACTACTGTAACGCCCTCTACATTGGCCTCCCTCTGTCGGTGATTCGGAAGCTCAAGTTGGTACAAAACGCAGCTGCTCGGCTTCTTGCGGGAATTCCGATGAGATGCCACATAACACCAATCTTACTACAGCTGCATTGGTTACCAATTGAGCACCGGATCACTTTCAAAGTGATGGTACTCACCTTGAAGGCCTTGCATGGTCTGGGGCCGATGTATCTGAGGGATGGCCTCACCCCCTCCCAACCCCAGAGATCCCTCCGTTCTGAGGACCAAGATCTATTGGAAGTCCCTAGTGTCAAGACCTTGCGTCTAACAGCAACCAGACGCAGAGCCTTCACAGCAGTGGCACCATCACTCTGGAATGCTCTGCCACCTGAAGTTCGTGCCCTGCGGGACTTACCAGCTTTCCACAGGGCATGTCAGACATACCTGTTTCGACAGGCTTTTAATGTTTGATACTGTTGTTTTTAAATTGTTTTAAGATTTTAGCTATTCTTGTAAGCCGCTCCGAGCCCCAGGGGAGTGGCTGCATAGAAGTTCAAATAATAAATAAATAAATAAATAAATTATTAGTAAAACACAGGAAACAAGCTGGAACTTTCTTCTGCCCCCCTTTGTCTTCACTCTGGCCAGAGCAGAAGTTGGTGCCGGGGGGGGGGGGGGGGGGCTTTAACCTATAAAGCTCTGAACGGTTCTGGCCCAGTTCACTTGTCCGAACGTATCTCCTGCTACGATCCACCTAGGGGCCTAAGATCATCTGAGGATACCCTGCTCATTGTTCCCCCATTGTCGCAATCGCGTCTGGCGGGGACAAGGGACAAGAGGTACTCTGAGGATGCTTGCCATAGATGCAGGTGAAACGTCAGGAGAGAATGTCTCTAGAACATGGCGGTGACCAGGGGAGCATTTGCACAGCTAAAGCTTGTGCGCCAGCTGCGCCCGTACCTTGGGAAGTCTGACTTGGCCACAGTAGTCCACGCTCTGGTTACATCCCTGCAACGCTCTCTACGTGGGGTTGCCTTTGAAGACAGCTCGGAAGCTCCAACTAGTCCAACGCTCGGCAGCCATGATTTTAACAGGAGCGGAGCGCAGGGAGCATACAACCCCCCTGTTGCGCCAACTCCACTGGCTACCGATCTGCTACCAGGCTGAATTCAAAGTGCTGGCGTTGGCCTTCGGAGCGGAGGGAGAATACAACCCCCCTGTTGCGCCAACTCCACTGGCTACCGATCTGCTACCCGGCTGAATTCAAAGTGCTGGTGTTGGCCTTTAAAGCCCTAAACGGTTCCGGCCCAAGCTACCTATCTGACCGCATCTCTGCCTATGAACCCACCAGGACTTTGAGATCTTCCGGGGAGACCCTGCTCTCGATCCCGCCTGCTTCTCAAGCTCGGCTGGCGGGGACGAGAGATAGGGCCTTCTCGGTGGTGGCTCCTCGGCTGTGGAACGCCCTTCCTACGGACATTAGACTAGCACCATCTCTAATGGTATTCTGCAAAGACCTGGCTGTTTGAGCAGGCGTTCGAATAATTAGTGCAATGATTGGTTAATGAACACTGGAATGGAACAATGGATGACGAATCTGGAACATGTTTTTGATGACGAGACGACAGTGAATGGGTCGTGCAATGTGTAATGTGTTAGGTTGTTAACTGTTTCTACACTGTAGCACTGAATTTTTGCTGTTCGTATTTGTTATGAACCGCTGTGAGTCGTCTTCGGGCTGAGAACAGCGGTATATAAGTAAGGTAAATAAATAAATAAATAAATATAGCCCCAAAAACCTACAACAACCCAATTATTATTATACTTTATTTATACTCCACCACCATCTCCCCTCAGGGATTTAGGAAGATTCCATCTGAACATGAGGAAGAACTTCCTGACTGTGAGAGCTGTTCAGCAGTGGAACTCTCTGCCCCAGAGTGTGTTAGAGGCTCCTTCTTTGGAGGCTTTGAAACAGAGGCTGGGTGGCCATCTGTTGGGGGTGCTTTGAATACAATTTTCCTGCTTCTTGGCAGAATGGGGTTGGACTAGATTGCTCACAAGGTCTCTTCCAACTCTTTAGGTTTTTAAATGCGTCATGGTGTCATTGTTTTTAGAGTTTTATTGTTTTGCTTGATGTTTTATTATTTGCTTATGAGTTCTACTGTTATATTTGTATGTTGTTGTTTGTTGGCGGCCTTGGCCATTGTAAGCCGCATCAAGTCCCTCGGGAGATTTTGTGGGGTATAAATAAAGTTAATAATAATAATTAGTAATAATGATTCTATGATGATTCTATGAGAGATACGTTTGGACAGGTAAGCTCTTCTAATCTAGTATCTCTCTCTATATATATATAAATGCTCTGTGCATAATGAGTACCTTAAAAACAAAAGAACCAATGAACGAAATCACACCAAATTTGGCAACAAAACGTCTCACTACACAAGGAGTGACCATCACTCAAAAAATTATGATTTTGTCATTTGGGAGTTGTAGTTGCTGGGATTTATAGTTCACTTATAATCAAAGAGCATTTTGAACTCTACCAACGATGGAATTGAATCAAACTTGGCACACAGAACTCCCATGACCAACAGAAAATACTGGAAGGGTTTTGGTGGGCATTGACCTTGATTTGGAGTTGTAGTTCACCTCCATCCAGAGAACACTGTGGACTCAAGCAATGATGGATCTGGACCAAACTTGACAGGAATACTCAATATGCCCAAATTTGAACACAGATGGGGTTTGGGGGAAATAGACCTTGACATTTGGGAGTTGTAATTATTAGGGTGAAAGAAGAAAGCGCAAAAGCCGGGTTGCAGCTAAACGTCAAAAAAACCAAGATTATGGCAACAAGAATGATTGACAACTGGAAAATAGAGGGAGAAACCGTGGAGGCCGTGACAGACTTTGTATTTCTAGGTGCAAAGATGACTGCAGATGCAGACTGTAGCCAGGAAATCAGAAGACGCTTACTTCTTGGGAGGAGAGCAATGTCCAATCTCGATAAAATAGTGAAGAGTAGAGACATCAGACTGGCAACAAAGATCCGCCTAGTCAAAGCCATGGTATTCCCTGTAGTAACCTACGGATGTGAGAGCTGGACCTTAGGGAAGGCTGAGCGAAGGAAGATAGATGCTTTTGAGCTGTGGTGTTGGAGGAAAGTGCTGAGAGTGCCTTGGACTGCGAGAAGATCCAACCAGTCCATACTCCAGGAAATAAAGCCCGACTGCTCACTGGAGGGAAAGATACTAGAGACAAAGTTGAAGTACTTTGGCCACATCATGAGGAGACAGGAAAGCCTAGAGAAGACAATTATGCTGGGGAAAGGGAAGGCAAAAGGAAGAGGGGCCGACCAAGGGCAAGATGGATGGATGGCATCCTTGAAGTGACTGGACTGACCTTGAGGGAGCTGGGGGTGGTAACGGCCGACAGGGAGCTCTGGCGTAGGCTGGTCCATGAGGTCACGAAGAGTCGGAGACGACTGAACGAATGAACAACAACAACAAAATTATTAGGATGTATAGTTCACCTCCAATAAAAGAGCATTCTGAACTCCACCAATGATGGAATTGGGTCAAACATCTCACACAAAACCCTCATGACCAACAGAAAATACTGGTGGTTTTGGGTGACCCTTCTGACACCCGCCTGGTGACCACCACCACCACCCCCCAAGGGGTCCCGACCCCCAGGTTGAGAAATGCTGCCTTAAGCCCATCCAGTCCAACTCCCTTCACCAGGGCAAGAAAACATAATCAAAGCCCTCCTGACAAAGGGCCATACAGCCATTCGACAGATGCAGTATCAAAGATTTGAAAGGGACCGCTAAAGAAAAACAATGATATGTTGCCTGTTCCAGAGTAGGCAACCAGACACTCTCCACATCAACACTGACAAAGAAACAGCAAGAAATGGTGTTTTACCCACAAGCATAAAGAAATTACATATATTAGAAACCAACACTTTCTCATTACTTTATTATACAGATCAGCAACGCGTGGCAGGGAACCGCTAGTGTTATTTAAAACATTGTACATCATCAGTAAAATTTAACAATAAATTAATAGATTAACGTGCCAGTAAAAACCAAGCCGAGCTGGGAGTTTAGCCTGAAGAAGAGAAGTCATATTTCACCTGGACATGCCCAGCATTTTTTAAAAAAAATTAATCATTAGATTTGGCCTGCCACAGGTTTTTAAATGCGTCGTGATATTTTTGTTATTGTTTTGCTTTGCTATGAGATATTTATTGTTGTATTGTTTGTTTTGTGTTTTGTTTCTGATGTATTATTGGTAATTTATGGATCATGTGTTAAGTCAATTGTTATATGTTGTATGGAACCACTGCTGTTTCTACTGTTTTTACTGTTTGTGAACCGCCGTGAGTCGCCTTCGGGCTTGAGATACAGCGGTATATAAGCAAAGTAAATAAATAAATAAATAATAATATTTGGGCTCGGCCTCTTGTAAGCCACACCGAGTCCTGCGGGAGATGGTAGCGGGGTATAAATAAAGGATTATTATTATTATTATTATTATTATTATTATTATGTTACTAGCTGTCCCTTGCCACGTGTTGCTGTGGCCCAGTCTGTTGATATGGAAAATAACGTAATGAGAAAGTGTTGGTTTCTAATATATGTAATGTCTTTATGGTTGTGGGTAAACAGTATTCCTTGCTGTGTCTTTGCCAGTGTTGACGTGGAGATTGTCTGGTTTGCCTACTCTGGAACATGCAACCTATCATTGTCCTTCTTTAGGGGTCCCTTTCAGATCTTTGATACTGCATCTGTCATATACATATGTGTGTGTGTGTGTGTGTGAATGTGTGGATGGCCTAATGTCAGGAGGGCTTTGATTCTGTTTTCTTGCCCTGGTGAAGGGAGTTGGATTGGATGGCCTTAAGGCAGCATTCCTCAACCTGGGGTTTGGGACCCCTGGGGACGGGATTGTGAGGGGGTGTCAGAAGGGTCACCAAAGACTACCAGAAAGCACAGTATTTTCTGTTGGTCATGAGGGTTCTGTGTGGGAAATTTGCCCCAATTCTGTTGTTGATGGGGTTCAGAATGCTCCTTGATTGTAGGTGAACTATAAATCCCAGTAACTTCAACTCCGAAATGTCAAGGTCTATTTCACTCAAACTCCGTCTGTGTTTATATTTGGGCATATTGAGTATTTGTGCCAAGTTTGGTCCAGATCCATCATTGTTTGAGTCCACAGTTCTCTCTAGATGTAGGTGAACTACAACTCCAAAACTCAAGGTCAACGCCCACCAAAACCCTTCCAGTGTTATCTGTTGGTCATGGGAGTTCTGTGTGCCAAGTTTGCTTCAATTCCATTGTTGGTGG